GCGGCGGCGGCTCCGCTCGGCTCTGCCGCGGCCGCCCGCGCCCCGCTCTGGCGCTGCCAGGCGGCCCTCCCCGCGGCTGACATCAGCGCCGGGAGGAGGAGCGACGCCGGGGACGCGAATAGCCGGGCCGAGGGGGGTTCCCCCTCCCGGAGCCGCCCTGCCCGCGCTCCTCTCGGAGAATCCCCCGAAAGCGGCGGCGTGCCCGCTCCGCAGCCTCGCCCGGGGGGCGGCCCCGCTCCCCGCCCGGCGCCCCCCGCCCCACGGTGCTGCCCGGCGGGCGGGTCCCCCGCCCGGGGCCGGGGAGCACCGGCGCTCGGAGCGGGGCGGGAGCGAGGATGCAGCTCTCGCAGCCCGGGGCTCCGGGCAGCCCAGCGCCGGCGGCGCGCCCCTGCCTCCCCCGGCCCGGGCTCCCCGCCCGCACCAGCGCCGCGGCGGCGGAGGAAGGGGCTGAAAGGAGGGAGCCCCCCCGGTCCTCGGCCCGGCCCCGGCTGGGAGAGCGGCCGCCGCCCCCGGCCCCGCCACCCGCCCGTTCCCAGCTCGGCAGCGCCGCGGGCGCTCCCTCCGAGCCGCCCCGGCGGAGCCCGGGCTGGGAGCGGAGGAGCCGCCGGAGGAGCGGCCGCCGCGCTCAGGATCCGCGGGGCCGGGCGGGGAGAACCGCGCAGGGACGAGGGATGGGGCTCGGGGCCGGCGGCTGAGCGGCGCCTTCCCCCGCGGCGGGTGTGGGTGCCCGGGGCGGGAGGGGCAGCGCGGGGTGGCCGTTCCGGAGGGTTCTGTTTGGGGCCGGGGCTCGGCGGTGCGGGAGGCACGGGCGGGGGAGTCGTGCCGCAACCGCGGGTGGGGACCCGCTGCCGAGGGAGCAGCGCCGGCTTTGGGTCGCCCCCGGGCGGCCTCCGGTCCCCGACGGTCCGGGGTGTCCCGCAGCCGGACCCCGCTCACCCAGAGACGCCGCGGGTCGGGGGGTCCACCCGGGGGGCGCTGCTCGGGGCGCTGTATCTGGGGGGAGGCGGGTGGTCGTGCCAGAGGGGCGAGAGCCCAGCCTTTGGCACGTCAGTTCATTCTGTGTGCAGGGATCAGTGGTGGCAGAGTGAGGTGGTCGTGATGGTGAGTTCAGCTTGCGTGAAAATACAGTGTAATTAATAGTTAATTTGTGGTGTTGATTTTAATAATTTGAGTATCTTGAATTATTTGCAGTATTCTGCCAGATGCCTGCAGTAGGCACTTCTCAGTGAACACAACAATTATTAGTAAATAATTGAGTATTTTTTCTGTACTTGGGTGATGAGACAGTTTTAAACTCTTCTGATGAAGAAAAGACATTACACTTATCCTAACAGCACACATTTTTCATGTGTCCTTATTTAAAAATAGTATGAAAGTGTCCATCTTTAAAAATAGTATGAAAATGTCTGAAAACCTTGTTTTACCTTCTTCACTGTAGCAAGATGTAGGTGATGCCTCACTTTTATCGCTATATATAAATGCCAGAATCTCACTGAAATAAAGGTATATAAGTGAGAGGATGAGTGAGTTTTAAAATCAGCTCCTAAAAATCCCCAGTCATTCAGTGAATTGTCTTCATCTTACCTGTTAACTCATATATTCAATGAGATTCTTTGAATATGGACTCGGATTGAACAATTGCATGGCCATTAACCATGCTGAAATACTCCAGAACAGATGTAATGCCTTTTCTTCTAGGTCATATTTCCATATCGTATTTCAGTCTCCTGACTCTACCCACATGCCCATTGTATTTTACTATACTGGGTACTAAATTCTATGAATTTAGTGAAGTTGTGACTTCATTATTTTTGTCTCACATACATACAGATGGCAGAGGTGCCTCATTATGTACAAAGAGAACATTACCCAGAAATTAGAGTTCATGTCCTGGCTGCAGTGCAACACAGCTGCTGAGAGTAACATCTACCACTCAGGGAGACTTCTTATCAACATTTCTGAACATTTTGTAATTAAATGGGATATATATAAATGACAAAAGAATAAAAAATAAAAGCAGTGTGCAGCTATGTATGTTTGGTTTACATCACAATGGTGGCTTGCAGAAGAGGACTGGCTGTCAATCCTGTTAATACCTATTTGATTGAGGTCTCTAGGTGGGTTTCTGAAATTCTGAAAATCAGGTCCATTATAAACAACTGGATTTTACACCTAAGAAGAGGCAATTGGTGAAGGAATTACTGTGTATCTCTTGGACACTGTCATATTCTTGTCCTCCTTGCTTCAGAGTATATTAAAATAAAGATTATTACTTCACAAAGAAGTAAATGACCTACAGGATGGTTTGTCCTGTGCCAGAGCAATCAACTGCAGTAGCATCAGCCATTCTGGACAGGAAAGCAAACAGCATGTCTGGGGGGGATGACCCATCCTGCTTTTCAAAGCAGTGTCTAAGGATAAGCTACAATGGACCCAGCAGTTCAGCCTCAAATGGGTTTGAAATACACAGCCAGAAGTCAAATTTGGTGAAAATTGTTATTTAATTAAAAAAACCAACCAAACAAACAAACAAACCAAAAAGGGTTAGGAGTAGATGGCTTATTTAACCGATATTGGAGGGTAACCTTGGAAATGGGCAAGAACCCTTTACAAAACAGAGCAATTACATCATGAAAAGGAAGAATCAGAGTCAGATTAACTCTGTCCATGCAGAAAAAGCATCACTTTGCTATGAACAAAAAATGTTTCTTTCTATGAGAAGGTATTGCTGCTACCCTTGATTCAGATCAAGGTCCAAATCCTGAAATTGTTTGTTACTCTGAGCACATGAAGAGGCCCCACAGGAACTATTCACATGTGAAAAGAGCCAGGACCAGAGCCAAAGTTTTGCATACTGTGAAGGTCAAGCTTGCTTCCTTTCTAAAACTTGCGCTTAAAAGACAAACTCTCAGAAAGATGTTTTCCACCTTCAGCTTGTTCCTCAGGGTGCTATAAAAGCACGTGGCTGATTTAGGGTGACCTGTGTCCAGCACGTCCCTGTGACTTTGGGTGCCTTGCAGAACAGGGGCTGTCCCTGCCTTCCCCTGATTGCAATTATTGTGGTTCTTCTTCCCACAGATGCCAGCTTGTTTATAAACTTCTCCAAATGTAGGGAGAAAAGTCTCATATTATCCAACTCCTGGCGTTACAGTCATGGAAAAACCTGTTAATAAAAATGCACTGCTTGTAGGACGAATTCGCAGCATTTTTGCAAAGGTCACGTAAAATATATTGCTTGAGTAGCCTCACTTTGGTCACCAGATAAGTCATTGAGAGGCCACTGTAGATGACAGCCACAAAGAAAGATTGTAATTCACTTTTATGTCTCTATGCAAGAAAATACGAGACACAAGCCTTCCTTTTTGGTACTGGGAATGGGGAGTGTGCGGAGGCTGGTGCAGGGAACAAAAAGGAGCTACTTTCCCCAGCCTGACAGATAAGGTTGGAGGTCTTTCTCTGCTGAAGGCCTGACATAGTTCTTTGTTTCTTTTTTCCTATCAGAACAACAGAAAAGCTCAGAAAACAGATTGCAACCACACTGTACCACATATTTTACTAGGGTTTTGCCTTGATCCCAAGTAAGACTTTTTTTTCTCCATATATTTATGTGAACAATAGTTTCTTTCTCTTACTTTTTCCTCATCCCCATTTAGTGGAAATGTATAATAAATCCCACTTGGGTTTTTTGAGCACTAGCACTGTTTTTCTGCCTTTCAATAATGGAAATCCCCAAGTTTAACCTTTTCTGTAAGCAAGGTTTATCTCCATTGCACAGTGTTCCATAGGTGCCACATCCTGTTTCTGGCTTTGCTAATGAACACAAACAGTGGGTCTCTCAGAGTCCCACCCTTTCCGTTGCTCTAGCATTACAGTGGCTGATCTTTTTTTTTAATTATTTTTATTTGTAGAAATATTATTTTTTGGCCAAGAAACTTGCCGTAACTTCGGGTCAAATCACTATGTCAAGTAAAATATTAACTAGAAATGACAGATGTATTTAAAAAACAACCCTACAGCCACAAATTGAGATGAATTGTTATGTCTATTTGGAACCTACTCCTTTAATTCCCAAATTGGTGACATTATACACCGATCGCTAATATGTAAGAAGTTTAGATTGCATTATTTTTAGAAGGCCTTAAATTCTAAATATATACATTTTTGAGGGAGAGCCAGGCACCAGTGGTGGTTATCATCTCACAGGGCTGCTGCTAAAACCATTAAAACGTGGAGCTCTGGAAGTCCAGTACCTGCCAGCGGGAGGGAGAACAAACTAATTTCATTATCAACTCGGCTGTCAAGTGACAATGTTTTCTAAATGCCATGAATTATGTATAAAATACATTAATTTTTAGAGTGCACATGGGGAGTTCAGGCACGCACACCCAAAGGGCACAGCTTTGGCAGGGGCTGTGCAAGACAAGACATCAGGTGGAGTCACTGCACAGGCAGGAGCTGGTGCAGCCAGTTCCCTGCTCGAGTCAGGAGCGATGATATCCATGACAATACAGGGGAGAGCTTAAAGTGACTTCAATGAGATAAAAA